CCCACTATCACCTTCTCTGCAACACCCCACCATGGGCCTCCAGCTCCTCCGTGGAAAACTGGAAGCTCACTGTCATTCAAGGCTCCTGGACCTGCTGTGGACAGCTGAGCACGTCTATCTGTACCTGTAGGTCATTCCGGAATTCTCTGGATTCTTGATGGGGGTGAAACTCCCATCCTGGTCACTTTCACTAAAATCCCAAACTATATGTCTCTCCCATAGTCCACCTTCTGCCCCGTGGAACTTGGTCGTTTTCTGGCCCCTGCAACTGCCCTTCTTGCGAATCCTTCCCACTGTGTTCTCAGCTCGCCACTGGAAGTGCGGCCTGCTCACAGCAGCAGCGCCCGGGCCCTAGGCAGGCAGGACCTCAGGCCCCACACGCCTACAGAATCAGAACCCGCCTTAGAACAAGATCCCCACAGGAGCCACCAGCGCATTTAGTTTGAGATCAGTGCTGCTCTAGGGGTCCCCACTCGGCAGCCCCTCCAACTTCTGACCCTCCACCTGCTGGTCACTCTCAGGGTTCACACTCAACATGCCCCAAAAGATTGTCGCCTTCCCTTCCATCTGCTCCCTCAACCTGCCTCTCACCAAGCCAGAAACGGGGTGTCATCCTCGCCTTTCCCTTTCCTTCATCCCACACATCTGATCCATTCATTACCAAATCCAGCCCATCCTGCCTAAAAAGGCCTCTCAGACCCTCGGCCTTCCCTCCTCCCTCCCACTGCCCTGCCACTTCCTCCCACCCACCTCCCACCTGGAGCCCGAGGGACTTCTCTAAATCATAAACACTCCAAAGACAGAGTCCCAGCCCGCCAAGGTGCACAGGCCCTGGCACTGCCACAGCAGCCCCCTCGCCAGCTCCGCCCCACGTCACGCTCAGCCAGGCTGTCGCTGGCAGTTCCCAGAATATACATGTTCTCTGTCACCTCCTGACCTTTGCTTTTGCTGCTGCCTCCATCACAAATGCTCCTCCAGGCTCCTAGAATTGTCCCTTCTAGGACAATTCCTCATACTCCTGAAAACCAACCTTGCCCTGAGTCCAGCTTAGCTACTCCTTTCGGGGCCCCACCATTCTCTGTGCTCCCTCATCTTTTATTATGGCTCTTGCCCCACTGTACTGGCATTGTCTGGAAATTTTTCCATCTCCCTGCTAGACTGGATGACATGACGTCCGATTCCACTGGGGACTCTCCCCTGCTCCCGACACAGGGTGTTTTGAGGCAGGTGCCCGGTAGTATTTGTTGAATGAATGAATGAATGAATGAATGAATGAATGAGCAGACGAAGGAAAGAACAATTAAAG